GAGCAGGTGCGAGCCGTGCAGAGCGAGGCGGGGGAGAGCCCGGCAGAGGGATGCCCTTCCGGAGCTGGGGAGGGGCTGACCTGCACCACCCTGTCCGTGCAGGACACAGCCTGGGGTGGGCGTGGCCGGGGCGCGGCAAGGCTGCGCTGGGAGCTCACACCCACTGCAGTCTTTCACCAGAGCCACGACCCCCCACCCCCACCCCACCCCTGCGCCGCCAACATCTGCGTGAGTGTGACGGTGAAAGCGTCCACTCACGGAGATAAACTAAGAAATGCGGCCGCGCTCGGGCTGATGCTCGGCGATGACTTGGCCGTGAGCCCCTCACCAGCGCCTCCCCCCGGGAGCCCCGTGCTGCGTGTTTTCCAGGGGGCAGCGTAACAGTGAGCCGGCCCGGAGGGAGCTCAGGGTCCCCAGGAGTAACCAAAGTGCCCCAGGGAGCTGTGCTTCAGAGACAGGGGAGTGAGGCAGGATTCCAGCTGACATGCTTTGACACGGCGGAGTCGCAGTGTAGACGGATGCCTTTGCTGCTGTGTGGACGAATCCCGCAGCTGGGGGAGGGGGAGGAGTGGTGTGGAGGTGCCACGGTGAAGCAGCTGGGAGGCAGGAAACCTGTGAGGCCCGTGGGACGTGCACCTGCCGCCGCCCCGGGACTCTCCCTGCCACCCCCCTGCCGAAGCCGACAGTGCCTGCTTGTGGTGTGGACAGTGCAACCCAAGTTGGGATTGGCCCTCATCCTGCCCCTGCCCATTTCATCTCCCCATGTGACCTGTTCACCCCCTTCCTCCTCTGTCTCCCCCACCACAGTGCCCCAGGGGGAGGCATTTCCACTCTCACAGCTGTGGAACAGTCGCTCCTCAAATTCACCCCAGCAGCAAAGAATGCGACCGTATTTGGAGACAGGCAGGCAGAGGGCAGTTCTGTGCAGCCGCGCCCAGTGGGGCAGCCCTAACCCCACAGGACCGGTGTCCGTGGGAGGTAAGGAAGCTGGCACATGGGCACACGTGCAGTGAAGAGGGCTAAGGGAGCAGGCGCCATGACAAGCCAAGGAGACCGACCCGGAAGGATCCAGCGCTGCCCACACCTTCCCCCGGGACTCGATCTGCGAGGCGGTGAATGTCTCGGGTGTGAGTCCCGTGTGTGCCACCCGGTGACCCACACAACCACCCCTCCCCAGTACCTGGAACTGAACACCTCTGCTGCCTCCCAGGGTCTGCGTCAGCAGGCGCTGGAGCTGGGTGCTGAACCCAGAAGCCCACATACGGGATACTGGTGTCTTAAATGGTGTCCAAACCCCCCGACTGAAGACCTGCAGCTGTCAGTGCACTGCAGAGCACTTGCTGTCATGGACTCTGGTCACCAGGTCACACCCTGCTCTCTGCAACTCCTCCCTCCCCCCGTCCCCCCAGTCCCTGGTGACCCCCCCCCAGCTCTCTACTTCCTGGAGTCCCACACTCTGAACTTCCGCATGCAGCTGAGATCCCGTGGTGCTCGTCTGGGTCTGTTCTCTTCCACTTCACCTCGTGCCCCCCCAGGTTCATGTGTGTGGTCACGGCATCCCGACCTCCCACTGAAGAGCACTGCCCGGTGGAGTTCGGTCATCTCTCGGTCCTCATGGGCAATGGTGTCCAGGACCCTGGAGGACAGACACTGCATCTGCCGATGCCCACGCCCCTGCTATAAAACAGCCCCGACTTGGGGGAGCACCTGCACACACTCAATGTGCTTCAGAGCGCCTCCCGCCATGAGAGCGTGACCTAGAGAACCACGATGTGACGTTCCTAGAGCCTGGCCAGCTCTGCACTTCCTGTTGGTTCGTTTCCAGGCTCCCTGTGCACAAGGAGGGCCAACTGCACTTCCAGCGTGTGGAGCGGATGCTCAGAGTCTGAGCCTCCTCCCCCAGGTGAGGACTGCGCTGCCTTCACGTTGCCTCTGACTACAGCAGCTCAGGGCTGCCTTGCGGCACTGCGGGGAGGCCGCCACCTGTCATGTGACTCCGGCATCCCAGGTGGGCACCCGTTAGAGGTCCAGCTGCTCCACTCTCAGTCCTGCTCCCTGCACACGTGCCTGGGAAACCAGCAGATGGTGGCCCAAGAGCTGAGCTTCCTGTCACCCATGTGGGAGACCTGGATGGAATTCCGGGCTCAGGGTTGCAGCCTGGCCCAACCCTGGCTGTTGTGGCCATTTGAGGAGGGAAAAAGAAGATGAAAGATTCTCTCTCCCTCTCTCTCCCTCTCTCTCTCTCTCTCCCTCTCTCTCCCTCTCTCTCTCCCTCTCTCTCTCCCTCTCTCTCTCTCTCCCTCTCTCCCTCTCTCCCTCTCTCCCTCTCTGTCTTTTCTCCTCTCCCTGTAATTCCACCTTTCAAATCAATCAATCAGTCAGAGCTCAGCCCGGTGCGTTGCCCCTGGGTGACCTGGGCAGATTCCAGTCGGGGGCGTCCCCTCTTCTTGTGTCCTGCTGGAGGCGGCGTGATGCTGGCTGCATGGAGACCGTCAGGTACGGGTGACTACGGCTGTGGACAGCTGAAGGTTTGCCAGGGCAGAGTTCCACAAAAAACGAAAGAAAATGTCCTTTCTGAATTTCAGGCCACTGCTCGGGAACCAGCATCCCCGCCCCCCCCCTTAAAATCCGAGTCATAACTAAAATCGGCCCTGCTGTTTCTAACTTTCCGTGGGGGGCGGGCCCAGCGGCCCATCTGCTGTGGAAACTTTTGAAAGACACAGAAGGTACGTTATTCTTAGCTGAAGGGATCTCTCCTGGAATGTGCAATTGCTCTGAGCCTTTGATCCGGGCCTTCCCGCGGCCATGTTGAGACCAGATGCCCACGATAGGCACGCTGCAGGCTTCCCTCTGCCTCGTGCGCGGGCGGATGGATGCGTGAGCAGACCACTGAGTCCTGTCCACGGGGCCCCGTCCTGCAGGAACAGGACATCGAGGCAGGTCCACGACTGTGTGCGTGAGTCACCTGCCCTGTGCAGGTGGACGTGGTGGGAGAGACCACGCCACGTGTCACAAACACAGATTGCTTCGCGGTGCCATTTCAGTGTCAGATGTGACTACATTTGCATCCGAGCTGTGAGCATCGCTCTCCCGTGGGTGCGTCGGATCCTCTCACTCGCACTGCTTTGGGTCTTCAGGTGTTCTATGCTGATTCATCATATATACCCAGATGCTGCACTGCCCCACCTCCACCACATCCCACCCCCAGCTCTGAGCCACAGAGCCTGGCTCCTTGACAACCAGGGCTTGGGGAATGCCGAAGCCAAACACTCCTTCTAGGAGTCCCCTGTGGCACTGCCCACCTGCCCCGTCCCTCACCCACCCCACCCTACAGAGCGCGAAGGTGGAAATCAGTGCGGGATCTGGTGGGTTTGCCTAATGCTCTCCAGGACCAAATCCACTTCTGCTCTTGCGTGATCTCTCTTGACTCCAAACCACCAGGTTTCTGTCACTTGTTCCCACTGTTGGCTTCCTCGGTTTGTCTGAGCCAGTGTAAGGGGCTCAGTTTCCTGGGTGATACAATCACACCTGCACCCACCCAGTGCCCACGGCGTCCGGGGAGCCTGGAGTCCACAGCCTCTGGGCTGGAGCTCACTTTGGTCTTGGGAGACGTGTGTCCTTGTGGTCCAGCTAACAGGCCCCATTCCTGTGACAATAGAAGAGCTTGCGTTTTTCACCACCTCAGCCAATGCATCTGAAGCGGCTGATTCTTCGTGGCCCTCCCAGGCTTGCTGGTGACAGTGTGACCTTCAGTGCGGACAGCCCATCCATCACGCTGTGAACTTTTCATGGTGTTCCACGCTCATCTCAGTTGTGCAGGGAAGCCTTTGTCCACAGCCCTGCTGACTGCCAACGAGGGAGCTTCAGTCTGTGTCCCCCTGAGCAGGCAGGAGGCCCCGGGCGGGGCTAGAGCGCCCATCTGCACCACGGGCTGCAGACGGACAGTCCCAGCCCCTGTGCCGTCTTGTCCATCATCTTCTTAGATAAGGAAGGTTCTCTATTTGTACAAGACCCACTTGCTGCATCTGTGAGTCCCAGGTAGGAATCTGAGGAATTTCTTTAACATCTAGATTTCAGGGAAGACCACATACACGGAGTAGGGCCAAATTTGTGCTGAATGTTTTATTTGGTGTGCTATGAAGCGTGCCTTCGAAACACAGGCTTCAGACGGTCTGAGTTCCTGACAGAACAGGAAGGTAATCTCCCAGGATTATGTTGCTGGGATCCATGAGTAAATTCTCCTGAATTCTTCACGTCTTCTAGGAGCAGAAGTTAAAAAGCAGAGAGCAGCAGGCGATAAGCAAACTAAGAAAAAAAACTGTTTTTCAAAATCCAGGACCAACAGGAATTTACTACTCGTTTTAAGAGGTGATTCAGTGGCTCGGAAGTGCGGTTCCCGGCGGTCTGGCTGCCTCTGACCCAAGGTCTAGCTCTCAGAGACCGAGCTGCTCGGGAAGGGAAGTGGCGCTTGATGGATACCTCCATCATGCCTGTCGCCATTTATAAGTAGAATACAATGGCCCTGGGCCTCACTCCGGCTCCTTCAACTGTGCGAGAAAGACGTGGGGAGAAGACGAGCCCGGGAGGACAGGGACACCTGCCCCAGGGCAGCTACCACGGGTGGTGGGGGATGTGCGGCTTCCGCTCTGTCAGCGGGTTCACGTATCAGTCAATCACATGTGGAAGACAGAACTGCAGACACGTGGGGCGCAGGGCCGACACTGTATGGCAATGGCTGGTTTTCAATACCAAGTCTCTGGGGTCAGAGTCAGTTCTTTCCCTACAGTTCAGTGCTTCCTGGCCACACAGGCTACCTCTGGAAGAGGGATTTCCAGTGGACTCAACGGCCTCATTTTCATGTACTAGAAGCAAGGGACAGATTTTCCCACGCAATCTAGAGATAACAGAAATGACCAACCAGAGACAACCGAGAATAGCACACTTGAGAAAGTTCTAGAAATCCGCATGAGCAAATAAATGGCAGGCCACATCAGGGATGCTCTGTGTGCAACAGATTTGCATTGCCTACAAAAGTGGCCATTCACAAGATTCCCACGCATGCAGCATTCACCGGGAGTTGGCCCCAACTTCACAGCCAGGCCAGACTTGCTTTGCTGTTGGCATGCTCAGTGGCCTGCAGGAGCCACGCACTGCACCCCTGTGCACCCACGGAGCCCCTGTACCCAGACTGCAGGCGACTGTGAGCTGAACAGGAGGAGCGAGGGGCGCGGCCCACTCAGCCAGCCTGGCCCGGGCTCCACCCAGAGCGAGAGCCGCGTCCTGGGGCCAGGATGGCCTAAGCGCAATCGTGAGTCTGAAGGAGGCGGCGAGCACAGGGCACCGCGGCCTGGCCTGGTGAAGACAGGGGAGCGGAATGGTGGGCGGGGTCCGCCCCGGCCCCGCCAAGGTGGCTGTGTCACCTTGAGGCAATCTGGCTCTGTCCTAGGCAGTGACGCGTGTGCCTGCGTAGACGGGCACCGTCCTCGGAGCCGGAGCTGGACCCACGTCCTGAGGATGCGCTGCTGCACTCCACGGGTCACCTCCCAGAGCCTGGAAGGGAGAAGGGCCTGAGTGAGGACGAGGCCACCAGACCTCTAAGCCCGAGCAGAACTCTCAGAGGGATAACTGCACAGCGCCGGCCATGCGGTCCCTTGGGTCTGGCCACCTTGGGCCAGGGTCTGATACTGGCCCAGCAGAGAGGGGAACCGAGGTGGACCCAGGGCACCGGGCGGTCAGACGGAAGAGCAGAACCGATCAGTGGTCACCTACACGTATTGCTACCGTGGGACCGTGCGACGCTGCCGATGGGGGAACTGGTACCGCAGCCGTCACAGGGTCGCGGTGAGTGTGCACCCGTTACAGGCATGGTGGTTGTTTTAAGTGGGGACAGTCGGGAAAGGATGTTAAGCAAGGCCACTGCCATCCTGAGATTGGGATGGCGGTGAGGAAGAAGGTGAGGCCGAGAGCACCCGGGAAGGAGCAGCAGGCCCTGGGCTGGGGTGCGGTGGGGCAGCGTGGAGGTGCCACGCAGATCGCAGACAAGACTCAGGCTGTGGTGTTGCAGAGACGGGCTGAGGCTCCAGGCTTCCAGGCTCCTGGCCTTGGCAAGATGTCGAAATCCAGTAGCAGATTACTACAGAGTGCATGCTGGGGCTGGCCAGCGTCATGGTGCAGGGGTTAGGCCACAGCTTGCAACGCCGACTTCCCACATAGCAGCCAGTTGGAGTTCTGGCTGCTCCACTTCTGGTCCGGCACCTGGGGAGAACAATGGCAGATAGCTCGGGGACTTGGGTCCCTGCCGGGCCCCTGGAAGCCCCGCGTGGGGTCCCAGGCTCCTGGCTTCTGTCTGGCCCAGCCATGGTTGATGCAGTCATTTGGAGAGCAAACCAGTGGATGGAATATCTCTCTCTCTCTGTGTCTCATCCCCTCTCTAGCTCTGCCCTTCGATAAATAAAATAAATCTTTAAAAAATATACATGCAGCATCTTTCAGTCTTTTTTTGTAAAACATTTATTTATTTATTTATTTGAAAGTCATAGTTACACAGAGAGAGGAGAGGCAGAGAGAGAAAGAGAAAGGTCTTCCATCCAATGGTTTACTCCCTAATTGGCCACAATGGCAGGAGCTGTGCTGATCTGAAGCCAGGAGCCAGGAGCTTCTTCCGGGTCTCCCACATGGATGCAGGGGCCCAAGGACTTGGGCCATCTTCCACTGCTTTCCCAGGCCATAGCAGAGAGCTGGATGGGAAGAAGAGCAGCTGGGAACAGAACCGGCGACCCTACGGGATGCCGGCGCTTCAGGCCAGGGTGTTAACACGCTGCGCCAGTGCCGGCCCCATGCATCTTTCAGTCTCAACAGATGTACTTTCTCTGGGGGCCTTGATGACACCCAGACACGGCTTTCTTACCGCCAGTGATGGGAGGGTCCTGGTGGGCTCTGGGCTGGGCTCTGAGAGGGCAGGGCTGTTTGCTGTTCTCCAGGCACCGCGGGGCACCAGGGAGCAGGTGTCTTCCCTAATTCGGTGATCTTCCTGGTACCGCCTGGATCTTCTTCCAGGGGCAAAATGAGTTTCTGGGATTAAAGTGAAACCCAGGAGGATTCGCGGGACTTAGATGTTCAGCTACAAAAATGGTTTTCCTGGAAAAGAGTCTGCCCAGACAGCCCAGATTCAGTGTGCGTCCATCAAGAATTATTTTGACCCTGAACGACGAAATCTTGCTATTCTAAGAAGACTCAGAGCTGTCTTGCTTGAACCTCCCTGCAACGTCGCGCCCCGTTCTCAGGCAGAAATACAAAAGGTCATTACACAATTGCAAGATCACACAATTAATGAACTCCAGAGTGGCACTGAAGTTCAGAGTTGTCAGCTCAGAATCCACAGTTTCGAAGCGACAGGGCGCCACCCTCTCCTGCTGCAAGGAGTCCTGTAGCTCCTCTATTTATCAGCGTCCTCGGGCTCCTGGCAACTTGAATTTAACTTGATTCTGGCTTCTGAAGCTCTCAGACAGACACCTGCCAGATGGACGGTATGGAAACAGAAGCGTAGCTGGCTGCGAAACGGTGGCAGAGCCCTTTGTGGAATGAGGGCTGTCATCTTTTATTTATTGGGATGTTATGTTAAATATTTGAAGAGATCAACACTTAATTTTTAAAAAAATCTGTTGCACTTGAAGTGAGCTCGTGGATTATGAGCACGCAGTGAAGTGGCACTGGGACCCCGCCACACCTTGGAGCAATTCCTTGCGTCCTGATAGCAAACCTGGTTTCGTAGAAGCCCAGCGTGGCCCATGTGCTATCCCCCACACCTGTTCCTCCCAGGCAGAAGGTGCGTCTGTCTCATCCCATGAGGCCGACTGGGCTTCCTGATACTGCCGGATGCCAGCTTACAGGGCCAGGGCTCTGATAGTCAAGCCGCCACGCAGGCTGTCCTCCCCGGGAGCAGGCCACCAACACTGCCACCAACACGGCACAGGGGAGGGGCTGCCATGGGCTGGCTCACCGCAGGTGCAGCAAAACCCCAGCCATAGACTCAGAATCAGATAAAACCAGCGCTTAAAACCAAGGTCTCCTGTGGGCTGCTGGACAGCAGCGCGGGGCTGGTACGTTTGTTACGTAAGAGTCACGTCCCGTTGTGTCTGATCTGCGCTTTTCCCCTGTGGTGATTGACAGGTGCGAGCCCAGAAAGACAGCCCGTGCGGCAGCCCCGTGACTTCTGGAAGCACCCCTCTCACGTCCGGGTTTCTTGATCCATAGGTGGGTGTCTCTGGCAATGGAGCCCACCTCTGCAGTGACATTTGTATTGGGTTTTTCTGCAGTGAGAGAGACACCAGAAACACTCACTCAGTTTTAGAGTAAAGGGGAGCTGTGGGTCCTGACATCATCTGCGACATTTTGCAGCCGAGTGAGCAGAGGATGATGGCGGCTCCCTCGACAGTGGCGCAGGTGGGGGCCCCAGAGGGTGCTGGGCCCTGTGCACGGGGTCTCAGGACCCAAGGAAAAGGATCTGCAGCGGGGGGGGGGGGGTCACGTTTTTATATTTGTCAGTCTGCTTATTTGTTTTTAATTTACCAGCTAGACAGACAGATCTCCCTCTCCTTCTCCCTCTCTCTCTTTCTCTCTCTCTCTCTCTCACACACACACACACACACACACACATGGGGGGGGCTTCCCATCTGCTGTTTCATCCCCCAGACATCCACAACAGCCAGGCTAAGCCAGGAATTCAGTCTGGGTCTCCCACGTGGGTGGCAGGAACCCAAGTGCATGGCTCAGGTGTGCACTAGCAGGAAGCTGGATTGGAAACAGAGCCAGGACTCCAACCTGATGCTGCCACATGGGATGCAGATGTCCCAGACGGCAGCAGATCTTTGACCTCTGACCTTTGTTCAAATGTCCTGCACAGAGCACAGGACCTTGACCTGGCACACTTCCAGCTCCTCGCCGCCGGCTCTTGCACAGTGAGCCCTGCATCTCTTAGGCATGTGTGGGAGCCCTGGGGCCATTCCTGCTGCTGCAGTCCACACCTGTTCATGGCCGCCTCCCCGGCGCCCTCCCTGGCGCCCTGCGCTCCTCTCTGAGACGCAGGCTCCCAGCCGGGGCCAGCACCCTCCCCCTGGAGAACCGTCCTCAGCACATCCTGTCACTATGGCCAGCGCTCCTGATGGTCGTCCGATTCTCAGACACTTCCCCCCTGGGGGGAGAAATGTTTACTGTCACTTTTATTCTTTTCAGTGTTTTGCAGATGCTGTGCCACATGTCTTGTCCTGTGCAATTTCTCACAAAAGTTGGGCAGTGTTTTCTGTTTTGGTTGTTTTGTGTGTGTGTTTTTTTTTCTGTCTTCAATTCATTGTTTAAGAAGATTTATTTATTAGCTTGAAAGGCAGAGTGACAGACACAGAGAGACGAGAGAGGCGGAGATCTTCTGTCCCCTGGTTCAGTCCCCAAGTGGTCAAAACAGCCAGGACTGGGCCGGTCTCCGACACGGATGGCAGGGACCTAAGCACTTGGGTCGCCTTCTACTGCCTCTCAGACACCTTAGCAGGAAGCTGGATTGGAAGTGGAACAGCCAGGAGCTGAACCAGTGCTCCCACATGGGATGTACGCACTGCAAGCCACAGCTTAAACAGCTGCACGAATGCCAGACCCAATCATTGTTTCTATCTTTGGATTTCAGCAGTAGACGTGACATGTCTAAGTGTTTATAAAATATAATTTCATCCTACGTGTTTCTTGGATCTGTGACTTGATGTATTCTATTAATCTTGGAAAATTCTTGGTCACTGTCCCTCCTGTTCTACTCTGTTTTTATTTGTTTTTTTTTTTTATTTTATTTAGCAAATATAAATTTCCAAAGTACAGCTTATGAATTACAATGGCTTCCCCCCCATAACTTCCCTCCCGCCCACAACCCTCCCATCTCCCGCTCTCTCTCCCATTCCATTCACATCAAGATTCATTTTCAATTACCTTTATATACAGAAGATCAATTTAGTATATATTAAGTAAAGATTTCAACAGTTTGCACCCACACAGAACATGAAGTGTAAAATACTGTTTGAGTACCAGTTATAGCATTAATTCACATTGAACAACACATTAAGGACAGAGATCTTACATGAGGAGTAAGTGCACAGTGACTCCTGTTGTTGAGTTAACAAATGGACACTCTTGTTTATGGCGTCTGTAATCTCCCTAGGCTCTTGTCATGAGTTGCCAAGGCTATGGAAGCCTTTTGGGTTCGCCGACTTCGATCTTATTCCGACAGGGTCATAGTCAGAGTGGAAGTTTCTCCTCCCTTCAGAGAAAGGTACCTCCTTCTTTGATGGCCTGTTCTTTCTACTGGGATCTCACTCGCAGAGATCTTTCATTTAGGTATTTTATTTTATTTTATTTTTTACCAGAGTGTCTTGGCTTTCCATGCCTAAAATACTCTCATGGGCTCTTCAGCCAGAACTGAATACCTTAAGGGCTGATTCTGAGGCCAGAGTGCTTTTTAGGGCATCTGCCATTCTATGAGTCTGTTGTGTATCTTACTTCCCATGTTGGATCGTTCTCTCCCTTTTTTATTCTACCAGTTAGTATTAGCAGACACTAGTCTTGTTTATGTGATCCCTTTGACTCTTAGACCTATCAGTATGATCAATTGTTAACTGAAATTGATCACTTTGACTAGTGAGATGGCATTGGTACATGCCATCTTGATGGGATTGAATTGGAATCCCCTGGCACATTTCTAACTCTACCATTTGGGGCAAGTCAGCTTGAGCATGTCCCTAATTGTACATCTCCTCCCTCTCTTATTCCCACTCTTATATTTAACAGAGATTACTTTTCAGTTAAATTTAAACACCTAAGAATAATTGTGTGTTAATTACAGAGTTCAACCAATAGTATTAATATAGAACATAAAAAATACTAAAAGGGATAAAGAATTAAATTGTACATCAACAGTCAGGACAAGCGCCAATCAAGTCACCGTTTCTCATAGCGTTCATTTCTTTTCAACAGGTTTCCTTTTTGGTGCTCAGTTAGTTGTCACCAATCAGGGAGAACATATGATATTTGTCCCTTTGGGACTGGCTTATTTCACTCAGCATGATGTTTTCCAGATTCCTCCATTTTGTTGCAAATGACTGGGTTTCATTGTTTTTCCTGCTATATAGTATTCTATAGAGTACATGTCCCATAATTTCTTTATCCAGTCTACTGTTGGTGGGCATTTGGGTTGGTTCCAGGTCTTAGCTATTGTGAATTGAGCTCCAATAAACATTAATGTGCAGACAGCTTTTTTGTTTGCCAATTTAATTTCCTTTGGGTAAATTCCAAGGAGTGGGATGGCTGGGTTGAATGGTAGGGTTATATTCAGGTTTCTGAGGAATCTCCAGACTGACTTCCATAGTGGCTTTAACAGTTTGCATTCCCACCAACAGTGGGTTAGTGTCCCTTTTTCCCCACATCCTCTCCAGCATCTATTGTTGGTAGATTTCTGTATGTGAGCCATTCTGACCAGGGTGTTTTAAAGATTTATTTATTTATTTGAAAGTCTGAGTTACACACAGAGAGAGGAAAGGCAGAAAGAGAGAGAGAGAGAGAGAGAGATCTTCCATCAGACGGCTCACTCCCCAAATGGCTGCAACAGCCAGAACTGCGCTGATCCAAAACCAGGAGCCAGGAGCCTCCTCTGGGTCTCCCACATGGGTGCAGGGGCCCAAGCACTTGGACCATCCTCTACTGCTTTCCCAGGCCACAGCAGAGAGCTGGATCAGAAGTTGATTAGCCGGGACTAGAACCAGCGCCCCTATGGGATGCCAGCACTTCAGGCCAGAGTGTTAACCCACTTCACCACAGCACCGGCCCCCTATTAGGGTTTTTAATCACACACATTAAGCTATTTAGAAATATTCCACAGTTATTAAGTAATGTGTTGTTTTCTACCCTTTTTTCACTTCTTCTATTTTAATTTGCTAATTTCTTTGGAAACATCTTCATTTTTGTAAGCTGTTTCTATCTACCACTGAAGCCATGAAAAGATTTTTTTTTTTCATCTGACAGTATCTTTTGATTTTTAGTGTCTTCTTTCTCTTTTGCATAGTTTCTCTCTCTCTGGCAACCCCCTCCCCCGCTCTGTTCATAGATGTTGCCCACCATCTTTCTATTTTAAAGACCCTGCTAGACTGATACATCCCTAGGTCATCTCTTGGCCTCGTTCTGTCGCCTGCTTTGTCTCTTGACAACGGGTTGTCCTCATCTCTTTCTCTACATGTCTCCTGCAGAATACTGGGTGTCGTGTATAAGCCAGCAGTGGACTATGACTCCTGTGTTGCTGAGATGGGCCTGCCTCTGCTTCCAGGCTGGCCTGGAGGTGGTGGGCCCACCTGAACAGGCGTTGAGCGGGGCAGGCAGTCTTGGCTCAGTGGCTGCCGTAGGTGCACCCTAGGTTGTGAATTCCTGTGGCTGTGGGTTGTAGTCACCTTGAGTTTACAGTGGAAGCTGCCGTGCCAGGGGTCCCACTCAGCATTTCTCCTCAGCTTTCAGTCATCCCGCAGAGTGAGGGTTCAAGGACATCCGCTTCTCTGGCCCTCCCGCAGGGCTGGAGAGCCTGGGGTTAGGCTCACGATGGGGGTAGAGGTGGGCCTGTCTCTCCTTTGTCCAGGCACAGCTTTCTGAAGGCCTCAAGTGCTTGGAAGTCCGAGGTGGGTGGTGCCTTAGCCCTGCTGCTGTGTCGTCCATGGCCGGTGCTCTCCAGCCGTAACAGCCGTCTCTGAATTGCTGAGGGATGCTGTGCCCCAAGGCTTAGGGCTCCCCCTTCCTCTGAGTCCAGGACACTGGGTATAAAAGCCCACCAGAGACGCGGACATTCCCCCCGTGCTCTGGAGCCTGCCCCTGACTTAAGGCCTGTGCTTTGCAGGGGAAACCCTGGGGATGCTGGGAAAGCTCTGTGCCAGGCCTGCAGCGCCCCCAGCCCCTCCTGCCCTCTCCAGCCCTCCCCACCCTGAGGTCCCCCCGCCTGGGCTGAACACCCCTGGCAAACACCTGAGCGTGAACTCGGCCTATTTCAGGGACCGGGCCCTTGCAAGTTGGCCTAGGCCCTGTGTTTGTAGGGATGTTGCTAAAGTTGTCTACTTTTTTTGTTATATCTCATTAAAACGGGGCTGCCTCTTCACCCTGCGCCTGACGGGAGGGGCAAGCATTTTACTCGTGTCCCCCGTCCTGGAGGACTGTTTCTCTTTGGGACTCTGCGGCTCTGCCACCCCAGCCCCCCGACGGCCTGAACACGAATTCACCAGGGCGGCGGATCCGGCTGCTCACCGGCGTGGACGCCAGGCTCCCCCTCCCTGCCCTGCGGTGGACGCCGAGTCCGGCCTCCGTTCAAAGCGACCTGCCACATCCCCAGCACCCAGGACCGGGCCTGGCGCGGAGCGAGTAATAAATATCCCCCACGATAAGGAGCGAACAGGAAAAGGGACGTCTCCTGTGCACACACCGTCACTCCGCTGTTCACGTGATTATCTAAAAGTTTGCTGACATTTGTAAGAGGAAAGGCCAGCTTGATAAACACGTCCGACCTTTAACCTCGTGTCGGACAAGGAGCTGCTCTTCATGCGAGTTCTCGCCGAAGATAAAGGAGACCCGGAGCGAGATGGAAAACGTCCGCCTGCGAGCGGGGAGAGGCCCGCGGCTCCCGTTGCCAGGCAACGGCGCACGCACGCAGCGACGCTCGGAGCGCTCGTCCAATCAGAACTCGCCGCGGTTTCCCGCCCTCCGGGCGCTCGGAGCCGCGGTGCCCGCAGAGCCGGCGGTGGGCGCGCAGTGGCCGGAGCCCCCGAGAGGGTGCGGGCGCGCAAGCCACGGGGATTCTCTGAGTTCGCACGGGCGGTCGCCGTCCACACCACCAGCGGCCGTTCAGGGACGCTCTGGTCACACTTGGAACTGACGCTGCTTTGGCGCGCGCAGTAGCCACGGGAATCCAGATGGCGTTCCTGGGTGGTCCTGGCAGAGGTCACGTGGGACGCGGGCTCGGATTCCCACTGTGGCCTGGCCTTTCTGCTCAGTCACGTGCCGACTTCCCGAGAGAATTTTTAGATCACGTAGTTGAGAGGCGGGGAGAGAGCGAGCCAGCCCTCCTCCGCGGGTCACTCCCCCAAGGGCTCCCAATGGCCGGGGCTGGGCTCGGGTCTCCCCCGGGGGTGGCGGGAGCCCAGGGGCCTCAGGCCACGACCACTGCCTCCTCGGGTCTGCGTAGCAGGGGTCTGGAGTCAGGACGTGGAGCCGGCGCTCCACAGTGGACGTGGGCACGCTAGCCGGCATCTTGTTCACCAGTGTAAACACCCACCAGGATTTTATAATGTAAAAGGCTTCAAAAGAGGTCAGTCACTGAAAACTAGTAATACTGCATGGGTGTGGCCGTACCCGGCCATGCCGTGTCCCAGCCACGGTGTTGTCCCCACTGCAGAGCCATGGTGAGAAGGCTGAGATCCCACGCCTGCCACCACGTCCCCGCCATGCTGTGTCCCTGCCACGGTCACCTCCCCACTGCAGAGCCATGGTGAGAGGGCTGAGATCCCACGCCTGCCACCACGTCTCTGCTATGCCGTGTCCCAGCCACGGTCACCTCCCCGCTGCAGAGCCATGGTGAGAGGGCTGAGATCCCACGCCTGCCGCCATGTTTTCCAGACTGTCCTGCAGTTCTGCACAGCACTCGGGTGAAAGCAGAGCGTGTTGGTGGGAAGCGGTTGTGTCTTTGCACAGAACTTGCAGCAGAACCCTGCTCCTCCTCCTTGCTTCATCCGACTTCCAGTTCACTCCCGCAGAGCTCTCTGGTCCCTCCAGTACCCGGCAGGGGACGGCAGTGCAGGGTCCCCTGGCATCTGGGATGGCCGGGTCTCCTCCCGAGAAGCCTCGATGTTCCCGGCCTTCTCAGCCTGGAGCCGGCGACTCAGCCTCGCCCTCTCCCTGTCGTGAGGCTGACCCGTTCCTGGAGCCATCAGACCTTGCCCACGGGCCAGAACCAGTTCCAGCCGTGCCGTGCAGGGCTATCTCGGCCTCCCTTTCTGTGGTGTGGCCGTGCGTGCAGTGTGAGGAGAGCTGGGGATCCATCTGCTGCTGTGGCCCTGGGCTCTCTCTCCAGCAGGCAGCGGCCCCCAGCAGGCAGCCGGTCCTGGGCCGAGTCTTCGGGAGCTGCTGCCCTGTTTGCCAGGTCCCCAGGTCCCTTCCTCCCACCCAGATGGCGCAAGCTGCTTGGGAACGCTCACACACCGGCGTGCCGGGGAGCCAAGACCAGCCCTTCACCACGAGTCACGGAACTGGCGGTTCTGTGTTCTAACAGAAAATGATGTGACTTGGACGGCTGCAGGTGCCAGTGGGCCAGATTGGAAGAAGCAAGGCTGGACCGCACGTGAACATACACGCTGGACCACAGCCCCTACAGCCATGGGAGCGGCATGGCCAGGACTCCGTCAGTGACGGTTGCCAATCGGAGCACACCCGACACCTCCTCCTTCCCTGCCCGGGTACCTCTCCCCGCCCCTCACCTCTCCCTGCCCCTCACCTCTCCCTGCCCCGGCGTCTCTCCCTGCCCCTCACCTCTCCCTGCCCTGGCGTCTCTCCCCGTCCCTCACCTCTCCCTGCCTGGGTACTTCTCCCTACCCGGCGTCTCTCCCTGCCCCGGCATCTCTCCCTGCCCCTCACCTCTCCCTGCCCCGGTGTCTCTCCCTGCCCCGGCGTCTCTGGCAAACACGAGCTGTGGTGGCTGCACTCCTCGCTACAGCCCTCGCTGAACAAACGTCTTTGCGTCTCTCTGTCTGAGGGACTCTGCCAACCCCCCAGCTGCTGTAAGGAAGAGCCCGGCCTTGAACTCCTGGGCTTTGCAACTGGCAGCTCCCGTGCTAGAAGAAGCCATGTCCTGTGGGAGGAGGGGTGCTGTGTGACGTGGCTGACGCGGGCGGGTGCTGTGTGACGTGGCTGATGCGGGCGGGTGCTGTGTGACATGGCTGATGCGGGCGGGTGCTGTGTGACGTAGCTCCTCGCTGGACGGGGCGCACCCCGCCTTCAAGCGTGGTGGGTGGTGGGAGCTCACACGAGGGCCCGCCCTGCTGCTTGCCTGTGTGTGTGTGTGTGGTGCCTCCTTGACTCCACAGCCACCATCAGCAGCAAATGACATTGGATTTTCTAGGTCTGCGGTGTGACAGCAAGCCACTTACAGGTTATTAATGATCCCATCAATATTCATGTCAAAAATCGCAATAATGATTAAAGGTCAAATTACAAAACTTCCTCTCTCATTAACTCATGGCTTATTTATTAAAAGTCTCAGTCCCAATTATGAGGGCTGTTTTTCTGGTTTATTACTTTTCATCCTGGGAGAAACTACCGCTGAAGCATCAGCTCCACGCTGTAAATTCAAACATGGGAAAGACGGTTTCCCTCTCCTTCGGGTTCTCATTATGGACGCGTGTCGCCGAAGCATGCGTGACTGACTCGGGCTTTCCGAGATGAAGCAGAAACCCCGCTGGGACTTACCGGTCACCCAAAGCCCGGGCGCCGAGGTTGGGGCAGACCACAGGGCGGACGGGGATGGGGCCGCCCAGCGGCTTCTAACCTTGAACGACTGAGCTGCAAACAAGCAGCCCCGGGCAGACGTGTCTGTCAGATTAGGCTGCGAAACCCGTCAGTGGTTTTGAAGGGCACTGGGGGCGGAGGGCAGACAGCCCCGGGTTGCGAGGACTCGGCGAGGAAAGGTTGCCCGTCCGTCTGCAGCCCGGACCTCGCCTCTGTCAGGTTGCCAGTGGCCTTCGGGGCATAGGAGGTCAGAGCCCCGTCAGAGGGGCCGCCCGCCTCCTGCCTCCTGCCACGAGTCCGCGCCCACAGCCTGCACCTTCTGACAGCCCTGAGTAGCCATGTCTGCAACCGCTCAGCCCGCCCGATGAGCTGCGGGAGGACGGGGGGACGGAGGAAGACGGGCCGTGTCAGGATGCGAGCATCAGCTCCAGGAGTCCGCCCCGGCTGCCTGGGGCCCACAGTGTCCAGTAGGAATGGACTCCCATGACCCCTGCGGCAGGTGGGATCGCAGTCGCACACCGCTCGCTCCTGCTGCAGGAGCCACGCTCCAGGCTCACGGCCGAGCACCTGCCCAGGTTGCTTCCTGTGAGATCAGCGTTATTCCCAGAAGGACAAGCCAGTGATTCGTGACAGCATCTCTCAGTCCCCAGCAAGAAATGCTCCCGGCCTCTGACCTGCACGGTACGGGGCTTGAAGTTTCCCGGGTGGGTGTCCTCTGGGCTGGGGACACCGGCACGGCTTACAGCTCCGCGCTCTGTGACTCTGAACGTGAACGTAAACCGCACGGCTGATGGAGTGGCTGTAACTGCACATGTCTGGAACGGAGAGGGGGCATTTATGATAATTAGCAATAATCAAACCCAGGCCAAGGAAATAGGTACAGGAGAATGTTCACTAATTTGTAGCTGAATGACTTTGGGACCTTAAGGTAAAACGTCCAGGTGGTGCTTACAGGACTCGTAAACACTTGATTTAAAGGGGCAGTATTAACATGCGGGTTTATGACCAGAGCACTGAAATTAAATTGATTGTGTCTGCTCTGGCTCTAAAAATAAAAACGGAATAATAATTTGGCTACCTGCGTTAGAAGGCGTCGAGCCGTGAGTAACATAGCAAAGCCACACCTGACGTCAGCATGGCTCAGCAACAGGGGACCGGAGGAAGCAAAAGCACCCACGGGTGTTCAGAGCACCCCAATCCAGCGCAGCTCTGCTTGCTTCCTCTGCCCCTTCCTGGAAGCTGGAGTTGGACAGTCTGCCCGGACCCTGGAGCTGCGGCGCACGGCCAGCCGTGTGCCGGCGGCTTCTGTAGGAACTGCTCGGACCCCAGCGCGCCGGTGCCCCAGGAGCTGACGTCCGAGGGGGCCAAGCGGAGTGAGCAGTGCAAGATGTGAACAAGACACAGGGTGCTCCGTGACGAGGAAACAGACGCCTGACACTTCGCCAAGGAATCCAAGGCTGGTTCAGACGCGGCTCCTTAGACAGGCCCAGCTTGTGCGCCAGAGTATCACGCCGGTGCCCACAGCTTGTGGGACACGGAGGCGGGGGCGGGGCGGGGTGGGGCGGGGCGGGGCGGGAGCTGCAGGTGGAGGTGCTTCCGCTGGGTGGCCCAGCCACGTTCCTGGCTTCCGTCGAGACGGCTGCTGACGTCTATGGCGAGTGTCCACGTTAACCTTAGCAAGTGGCTAGTCCACCCCACACCCGTCAAGATTCCTTTTGAGCTGCCTTTATGTTTTTATTTTTATTTTATTTTATTTTTGACAGGCAGAGTGGACAGTGAGAGAGAGAGAGAGACAGAGAGAAAGATCTTCCTTTTCTGTTGGTTCACCCCTCAATGGCCGCTGCGGCTGGCGCCCTGTGCAGATCCAAAGCCGGGAGCCAGGTGCTTCTCCATGCGGGTGCAGGGCCCAAGCACTTGGGCCATCCTCCACTGCACTCCCTGGCCACAGCAGAGAGCTGGACTGGAAGAGAGGCAACCAGGACAGAATCTGGTGCCCCGACCATGACTAGAACCCGGGGTGCCGGTGCCGCAGGTGGAGGATTAGCCTAGTGAGCCGTGGCACCGGCTATTTTAATAATATGGACAGACAGGATTTTCCAGGTACTTAAGTTGTGGTCCCTTTTTGCTTTACAATTTTA